CTGCCAATACCGACACGGACAAGCCACAAGACAGGAGACACAGATCTCGGACAAAGAGAAAATAGCGCTCCACGTAGCGCAACGGGGACACTTCCTCTACCCTAACATTGGTCCTTCGAGTCGCATACACAGGCAGATTACATTCTTTTTTTTTTCTAAGGCCACGTGCAAGCGTATAAGTCGCACACGACAAGTACTCATAAGTTTTATCTCAGGCATACATTGCGAGATAAGAAAGTTTTATTTTATATTCACAAGAACGCTTTAGGCGCATCATATTCAATAGACGTCGGCATAACAAGGTCTTTGCTTTCGCTCACAAGAGCCGCCATATTGTCGTTAATTACTTTCGCTTACAAGAACCGCCATATTGTCGTGCATCACTTTCGCTCACAAGAGCGACCATTTTGTGTTGTTAGAAGAAGATTCGTGCCGACACAGGCGGTCATTTGCATTTTCGTAAAGCCTTACATTTCAGTGGCCAGGCTGTCACATTGTAATTTTATAACGGCTTTGCGTTGGCACGTAATCAATATCACGCATTACATTTAACATTTTTTCATAATGGAAACACTTTCATTAGCAGATGCAAAAATTAAGAGAGCTCACATAAAGTCCGCGGTTACCCGGTTAAGGACTTTTATCGACAATTTCGACGGCCTCTGCGGATCGCAGCATGGTCTCACTGAGCGTAAGTAAAGACTATCGGAATTGTGGAATCAATTCGAAGCAGCTCAATTTCGTATAGAAATTCTTGAAAACGCAGATCCCTCGATCACTGACAAAAGAGTTCTCCATCAACAGCACGCGTAACAGCGCGACAATTTTGAAACTTCTTATTTCCAGTTAATGGCTTGTTATACCGCTCTTATTGAGCGTATGGAAAAAAACGCATCTCCGTCAACTTCATCAAGCTTAAATGGACAAGCGGGAAATGTGAGATCGAGGGAAACGCATGTTAAATTGCCTAAAATCGATTTACCAGTTTTTACAGGTGCATATGACGATTGGTATTCCTATAGGGATACCTTTGAACAGTTCATTTAAATGAGTTTAGCGGAAATTAAAAAATTTCATTACCTGAGGTCTTCCTTAAAGGACACTGCCTCTGACATAATTAAATCCATAGAGACCACTGCAGTCAATTATCATGAAGCATGGGCGGCGGTCAATGAACGTTTCGACAATCAGAGATGGATTCAAAAGCACGTTCGCGCTTTATTCGAAGTACCAGCTGTGCGTAAGGAAAATCACAGCATGACTCGTGAATTATTAGACACTTTTTTTAAACATTTGCGCGCGCTCAAGGCCCTCGGAAAGCCTACTGATTATTGGGATGATGTAATTATTCATCTTATCATTTGTAAGTTTGATGTAGTCATCAGCAAGGCATGGGAATTAAGCATCAAGGGAAAAGAGCTGCCAAATTTAAAGAGCTTAATAGAATTCTTGACTCTCCGATGCCAGGCATTGGAATCAGTACATGATAGATTTTATAATAACGTAACAAGTAATATCACATCAAAGCATAATAACAATTCAAGGTCCACATCTGTCGCAAATGTCGCTACATTCAATCTTTCTTGTGCTGTTTGCAAAGAAAACCATTCCATATATCATTGTAAAGAATTCCTTAATTTATAAGTTGAAGATATTAGGTGTACAACTTTGCTTCCGCCGTTTTCCTATAGATGGTTTTAGCGGTAAGTGGTAGTCGAAATAAATAGATCATAGACGTCATATAATAAATTTGGGCATCTGTCAACATAATCCCATAAAAACATTAGTCGATTTGTGTCTGCTTCATAAAGTTATTCTCAATTGAAAATGTCAGTTTACGAGCCAAATTCTCGTCATTTGCGGGAGGTTTTAATTTTCTGCTTCAATATGAAGAAATCTGCAGCTGGCTCATCGAATCCTCTCAAATACTTATGGTGAGGCCGCTATTAGTAAAAAAATGTGTCATGAGTGGTTTCAACGCTTCAAGAACGGTGATTTTGACGTCGAAGATCGGCAGAGCGGTGGAAGAGAGAAGGTTTTCGAAGATGCAGAATTGGCATTACTTGATCAAGACTCGTGTCAAAAATCAAGAAGAATTGGCACGATCAATGGGAGTGAACAAGCCATTTCAAAACGCCTCAAAGTCATGGAAATGATTCAGAAGCAAGGAAATTGGGTGTCGTACGAGTTGAAGCCGAGATGTTGAACGGCGTTTGTTTGCTTGTGAACAGCTGCTTGAAAGGCAAAGACAGAAGGGATTTCTGCATCGCATTGTGACTGGGGGCGAAAAATGGATTCATTAAGAAAATCATGGGGAGTTCCCGGCCATGTTTCCACGTCGACGGCCAAATCGAATATTCACGGCTCCAAGGTCATGCTCTGTATTTGGTGGGACCAGCTCGGAGTAGTGTATTATGATCTGTTAAAACCGACTGAAACAATCACAGGCGATCAGTATCGAACGCAATTGATGCGTTTGAGCCGAACATTGAAAGACAAACGGCCGCAATACAACGAAAGACACGATAAAATGATTTTGCAGCACGACTCCATGTTGTGAAAGTGGTCAAGACATACTTGGAAACGTTGAAATGAGAAGTCCTACCCACCGTATTCTCCAGACGTTGCTCCCTCTGACTATCACTTGTTTCGATCAATGGCACACGGCCTAGCTGACCAGCACTTGCGGTCTTATGAAGAAGTAAAAAATTGGATCGATTCGTGGAT